AACATGGTAACCGAACGACCCCACAGGGACAGTGTGCGCTTGGTTTTATTTCGGCCATAACATAAGCGGTACGCGGAATTACTTTTTTGTATTATTAAAAAAAATATATACGGGTATATCTTTATTAAGTTCTTTGAACTTATTTAAGAAATAAACACCACAGTAAATTATACTGTTGGTATTAATATTACAAATTCGAATAAAGCTCCAACGAATGAAATACACAAAATTATACTCGAAACCGCGGGTATAATAAGGGTTTACTTTCTATTCCCGCTGCTAACCGCTCCATACATTTCATTATGACGTCACGCTAATTAGTTTTTTAATGTTCCCTCAGAGCTCGATTAGGGGAGACCCACTTAACTTTATCGTTTCATATTTTATTTATTTTATTCCGTTGTCATACGGCCTCTTTATAACAAAACCGCTTTATTATTTTAATTAGAGTATAATAATGGCTCCCTTTATGCGAAATGGGATATTAGGGAAAATATTTATGACTTATCAGATATTCATTTTGAATACTTTCAAGTTTTATACGCAATGGTTTGGTAATTGGCAAATTCGAATGTTAAAATGTAACAATGATCATCATCATCATCTCCCTACCCTTATCCCAATTATTATTTAATGTCGGCATAATATGTTTTTTTCTTCCATTCTTCTCTACACTACAATGACTGCGCATTGCCGCATTCACTCCCATTCTGACTATAATATCATCTGTCACACAGTCCAATCATGTCTTTTTAGGTTTTCCTCTGCCCTTATAACCATCCACATTCATACTTTATCTTTACCTTTCCTAAAACATACTCCTCATCCCTGTGCATCACGCGTCCATACCAGGACAGACTCCTTTAATGTAACAATCATATGATCGAAATCCAACGATGGTATTCGTGGCACTTAACATTTGTCTCTATTCATGAAACCCATGTTCTATGTTTACACCTTGAAATAATTCATGATTTTCTTACATAAAAAAAAAACAGCGATAAATTTTTATTAGTTCAAATTCAAATTCTGATCATCTTTATTCAAATAAACTTGTTTACCAGCACTTTAGAATATTTTTTTTTTATGAACGCAGGGTTCAGAAAGTTATTGTTATCTGTTGAGAAAAACCTACAAGAAACTCAACAGTTACTATTTTAAATCTTTGTTTATATTATGTGTATTTATTTAAATGTACTATGTCTAAAATTACATGGTCATTAAGCCCTTACATGATCGACTAACACCATGTATATTTATAAGATTAGCTACCTAACACTATATGCTGTACGCGCCAGCAATCTAATCCAAAAAGAATTATTAAAATTGTTTAACCTCTTCCTGAATGTTTACATTTCTAATTTTTTTAAATGGAGTGCTGACCCCGCTTGCACTATCGGTAGATGCTTGCGGATTACTAGTGATAGGTGATGACGAAGGCAGGGTAGTTAGTCCATCGTGAAAATTCTACAATTGTTAGGTCTGCCTGATAGGTATATTGGTAGCAATGGAGCTGTTAGAACCATCTACTAACATTCTCTTTCCCCCTTTTTTTAAATGAAAAATAAAGTATTTGTAGATAATAAAAATCGCTCATAGTGAAATTTGATTAAGCATTGAACTAGTGTAGTTAATCCAGCGCTATCAATGCGAAATAAAGTCGTGACCCTATCCAGCGACATAAAACTGACATTTTAAGAAATCTCCGATTTTATCGCGCGCCATCGAAGCGTTTCACTTGTCGTCTCTCCGTCAGTTTGTACGTCACAAATGGTCGTACGCTTTTATGAATATTGTTCACGCATTACCGAATACTTTCATTTCTATATATAGTTACAACGTAATGAAATTACACAATCGACTGAGTAATATTATCTTTCTATAATATATATATATATATAGCAGAAAAAAATAGACATATAGAAAATAACTATCGGTAGAGACGTTTTCGCTACGCACATGAGAAAGAAAATGACGTCGAGCAATGCTGTCTCATTCTACCTCTTGCATATGGTAGCGGAAACCTATCTTTATTACCTTTACCTTTCTCTATTTATCTAGAAAGAAGGTAATCAATCGGTGAAGAAACTTATAAGAGAAACCTATTTACAGTAAAATTGTACATAGGCGTTCCACGGCCATTATTCTATGGTATCTATGAAATTGTTTATGTCCATAGACGACGACTACGACACTCTCTAAGGTAGAGCGTGAACTTATTTGTCGTTTCAAGTCTCATAAAAAAATTAAGGAACTCTAGAATTTTAGAAATCTGTTTCATCATATCAGCCAATAACTGTCCACTATTGAACATAGACCTCCCCTTGAGGGGTTTTGCCAGTAGTTTCCATGCTTGGTAGACGGGCTGGCAATCGTAATTAGGCTTTGGTAATATTTTAAAAAGGACGCTGTTGCCCATCCCTCGACCATTGAGTTCCCTTAGTCGCCTCTTACAACACCCACGGAAAAGGAATGATTGGTCTATTCTATGCTGGGACCACGCTGAAAATAATTTCATAATAAACACACATATAATAAATCTATTTTTTATTTTATACAACTTTGAATGGCAAACAAGCTGACGGCCCACCTGATGTAAAGTGGTAACCGTCGCCTATAGACATAAGCAGTACCATGGACATAACAGAGTATACTGTTTCGCCCATGATACTCCCCATGCGTTGCCACTCCTGAGGACTCAGGTGTTATTCCTCTGTACCCAGTAAATTCACGCCATACCCCCCCCCTTCAAACCGAAACACAGCCATGCAAACACAACTGCTTCACGGTAGAAACACGAATGGGACAGAGGTACCCAAGCAATCGACTTTTGTACAAAGTCTCCCTCTGGTATTTACAGTTCATTTATAAACTTATAAAGAATATCAAGTCTAATAATTATGTTTACTTCTTGTAACGAAAGCTCCAACTCTACTAAATACGATGTTATCATATACCTATTAGTAAAAATGAAATATCGTTAAGCAAAAATATATATTATTCCACAGACATAAGGTACTGTTTATGTAATTTATTCAATCAAGAGTTGAGTGTTAAGACTAACTCGGTTTCATGACAAAAGCCCTTTAATGAGAGCTGCGATGTACTGTTATTTCAGACCTCATTTAGACTGAAATTAAACCCTCGAATGCTTTAGTTGGATAAAAAGGTCTGACTTTAACTCCATGAACATTGTCGTGTTAATCAGAATAGAACTCAAAATAAAAGAGTTAATTAACTAGAAGTGTGGACCATATGTTATGTATCAATGGGGATCATAATTATAACTATGTCACTATTTCTATCAACTCCATCAACTGCCAACCTGCAAATTGTAAACCTCACCATGACAACTCATCGTCCATCAATCCGCATTAGAAAGATCATGCTCTCAGTACCCACTAAATGTTGAAGCCCAAATCCATCATCCATATTATAAGTTAACCAGCTGCAAACCTTGGCATATGCGAGCGTACACCAAAAGCGCAAACGCAAGTGCTTGGGAACTCAAATCCAGTACATAGCACAAAAAAAAAAAAAAACTATGTCACTATAATTATAAATAGAGCTAATGAAAAAATAACTCTAACGATGTCCTGGTAATAAAAAAATGGATTCTACCAGAAGGGGATTTTGTACAAGTCGTCTGCTTGGATTAAGTACCTCTATCCCACTCATGTTTTCCTAGTTTTTCTTGTGAAGAAAAACAAAGCATGATGGGCACTATTGGCGTCTATATATATTTGGCATTTTTTTAAGAAACTTAAAATTGCAATCAAGCTTATAGCTCACGTGATGGTAAGCAGTATATGTCGCTTATTGACATGAACAGTAGACAAATAGATACTTTTTATTGTTTCTTCCAAAAGATAACAATATTAAACTTGTTATTAATAGTAACATAGACAAAACAGAGTATACTGTGTCACCCATGATACCCTTCATTCAAGTAAATGTATAATTCGGATTCCACATCCAGAAACTACTCTGTAGAATTAAGCCGACTAGCAACTAATACGCTAATAGATATGTAAATTCTTTCAATAAAGTATCGCATTGTAACACAACACACACTAATAAGGTAAAATGGAAACTTTGCTTGCTTTTAACATAATTGGGTTTACGTCAGATATTCTTGTAGTTCGGAATAGACCGATAGAAATTATTATTAATAACAAACATAGCAAAAACACGAATGAATATTGTGAATTATTTTTGTCAATTGTCTTCAAAAAGAAATAGGCTCTCAGTTAGATTGTATTTTATGTTTGTTACCTCATAAGTTTGTTGGTTTTAAATGGATTTAAAAAATTCTTTTTTTTTTATCTGAAAGGGTATATTTACAGATTAATCTCGTATTCTTTTTTGTATAGTAATGTATAAAAATAAATAGTGAATATTATATAATAATAAATTATATAATTTGAAACTTTATATAAACGTGACAATCCATACTTTCATGTTTTTTAACCAATATAAAGCGATGGAAAAAAAGGGATTGCAAGTAACGGAGACTAGCGGTCCCACTTAGCAATATCAACCCTGTCAGGTGTACCCTCACGCTGTCCCTTTGGAAACTATCAATGAATTCTTGATGAATTAACCACAATGTCACGAAAACCGACTCCCTTACTTTTATCCTTATCTATCATCCCTCAATAGGGGGAAAAGGGTTCTAACAGTCCCATTGCTAGCAATATACCCTATCAGGTCGACGTCCACGCGGTTTCTTCTAGAAACCATCATGGTTAATTCTTATTAAATTCTTCACGATGGGCCGACTTCATCCTCACATAACTTCTATTGCTGGTTCCCCGCCAGCATATACCGATAGCGCAGGCGGGGTTACCATTCCATTTTCACCTATTAAAAATCATTCATCAGTAGTGCTCCGCCAACGTATATCGATAGCGCAGACTCCTATCTACTTAGTTGGAGTTACTATTCCATTATCATCCTTTAACAAAATGATAATTATAACATTATTTCTGTTGTTTCAGGAGTGGACGACACACACAAGTTCCTAGGGAACGAAACGCACACAGACTACTTCAGATTATTGTTACGAGACGGGAATTATCTCCTAGTTGGTGGCAGGTGAGTGCTTTTGCAGTTGTATAAATAGCGATTTACCTGGAGAAAATTAAACTGGAATTTTACAGTCTCACTAGAAAAATGTGAATACAGGTTATGCTTTTCTCGTGTTTTTTTAAGGATTATCATGGAATAATTCAACCACTTATGCTTACGATGTAAAATGGCAAGTCACTAGGGACAGGACAAGTTAAGGTTTCCAAATACACGTTTTTTATTTATTTAATAACAGGTATTGGCAACCTAACACATTTTTTTATACAAGCAATAGCACCCTCTGTCTTAAAATTCCTATCTGAAGAGACGTATCTTTGTCATCTACTTTTTATTTGTGTAGAATAAACGTTACCTAAATTTACCATTTACTTTAATCTCCTCAACATCCAGACTACAATCAAGAATTCGCTCAATAGGTCACTAGTGCAGTTGAAATGATGAGGCTGATGTCAGTTAACTTATCACGAATTTACTATGAAGGATTCCAAGAGGATCATGTGGAGACCGACCAAATATAAATTACTAGCAATTACTTGTTTCAGTAATAAACCTTTTGCATTTGAATTTCATTTTGAATTATTTCTGTTAAATAAGTGTTCATAATAAAAAATTTGATCATTAGAAAGAAATATTTAGGTATGTTAGTGGGTTTAAGTTCGTCAGTAGGTTAGTTGGTGTCGCATAAAATCATGTACCATGTCATTAATTTTAATGCACATTTCAACCGCCTTACGGTGAATTAAAAGAAACTGAAAATAAACTGTTTTGCAAAAATAAAATATGAAGAGATGTTCTACGTTCTTCAATTTGAACTAAGAAAAACAATTGGTATTCCAACGGAAACAACCAACTACATACAGGAGAACCACGGAAACTTATACTCCTAGTAACACCTATTTCGTTTTAAAAGACTCAAAGTTATACATTCAAATGAGATACTTAGTTATTTGTTTTTCCAACTCCACTTCAATTCGTAGGAAAGTTAGGGTTACCCTTAACCGCTGTGACTGAAGCGGCAAGAACGTGCTGTATCTATCCGAGACCGCAGAGAGCTAACTCGAATGCACATCTTTTCTCCCTTTCTATCTAAAAAGAATCCAAATAGCGCTTTCTCGTTTGCATTTATAAAGATTTTTGGCTTGTGTTTGGATGGAGGCAAGACGACTTAAAAACACCCCTCGCTCCCGCCGGCCTACAGTCGCCATTTTATTACGGTCTCGTGACGGGCGATTTGTCGATAACAATTTATCGATGTTTAGAGTTTCGAAGAAAGTTGTAAATGTTCCTCTTTCGTCGTTGTCCAGAGTATTTGTGGTTTTATGTCGATGCCGTTTGAATCGTTTGATGTCTAGTACTTGTTTCATTTTGTATGATGAAAGGTTAACTGTTTGTTGAGAAACTTTTTTGTAACTAGCCTATTTCTTTAAGAAATATGTATACAATAATACTTCTGTACTGCAAATGCGGATAAGTTTATTTTTAATCTCTGGCATTACTAGTCAGATTTAAAAAATTCTTCTTGCTTTTAATACTCGTAGCTCATTTTGAGCTAATCTTTATATGCACCGCAACAGTAACTACAGGCATGTTAGTGACTGCTCAATATGCTCTCACTTATCTATTTATTTCCCTATTCAATGCTCTAATTGGTCAACAGCTAAATATTTATTTTGTAAGTGTTAGTCGCTTTGCCGGTCATAATGGGTACTAGGGTAGTTGTCGCTAATCCATAGAAGGGTTTACGGGTGACTTGTTGCAACTCTTATATCAACTTCAATTTACAAAATGGTGGTTTAAATTTTTTAAGTTTTACAAAATGTATCTGTGGCTAACAATACGTGTCGGAATCTATATGTTGAGTGAACAGCTTATACATAAATAAAAAGAAAAGAAATATCGATATTTTGCAAAAATCACATCCCTGGTTATCACGCAAAGGCACGCCACGACACATCTGCCAGGCTGCGTCATGCCCGCTGAGCACCATCCGTATGTTGTTTACATGCCATGCATGCAACCAATATTTTTAAGAGCTATATTACACTTTCCAATATGTATCATAAATATATATAAACTTACATTTTAGACTCTTATACAGAGTTGAAACGTGACGTCACTATATACTCGTACTTGTATAATGTTCAAGATATTGTAAAATATTACCTATCGATATCGAAATTGTATATGATCCTATATATTTAATAGTGTAATACTTTCTCTTTAATATAATCTAATATATAATATTCTCGTGTCGCGGTGTTTGTTACCAAACTCCTCCGAAACGGCTTTACCGATTTTTATGAAATTTTGTGTGCATATCGGATAGGTCTGAGAATCGGCCAACATCTATTTTTCATACCCCTCAATAATAAGAGTGACCCACCCCTAAATATTTTTTTTTATTTTATTATTGTTTAGCATTGAAAAATACATACAAATTCAATTTTTTACGCTTTTACGACCAACCCCTGTTTTTTAATTGCGATTTTTATATGCCCAATAAGGTTGCAAATTTACAATCGAATATAATAATTGTAGTACGATAAATTTCCATGTATAGTTCTAGAAATAATGTATATGGTAAAACAACGTTTGCCGAGTCAGCTAGTATTTACAATAAAATTCCTATTCTTGAAACCATAGTTTAATTATCTGTCATCATGCAAATCCCTTGCGGGATAGGCTTATAGAAATAATGGTATATATTCTTTTATATTTGTCTTGTATGTATTTGTCAATTAATGAATAATGTTTTGTTATATTTTGTACTCGCTTCACAATTTTATAAGAATTACTAGAATAAATAAAATTATCATTAAAAGCTCTCTTTAGGACAATCTCCAGAGAGGCTATGAGGTCAAATATAAACACGAAATACAATATTGTTTTATCTTGTTACAAGTTTTTTTTTTTTTTTACAACGCCGTAAGTGACTATCGCTGCCCATGATCACCCTAAGACCAAAGGCATAGCAGGTGTGCTGCCGGCCTTTTAAAAAAAGAATATGCTGTTGAAGATTACGATGTCGTATCGGTTCGGAAATACTGCTGCTGGAAGTTGATTCAAAAGACTGGTTGTGCGTGTGACAGTGTGCCTTGAAAAACGCATGGTGGAAGACCGCCACTCATTCAGATGGTTAGGATGAAACTTAAACTATGAAAGTAGTACACTTCTTCCACTACTTGTAATGAATATGAATTAGAAATAAACTTTACAATAATTAAATTGGGTTCCACAAAATAAACGACTTCAATTGCAGTAAAACTAACTGATTTTACTAAAATTGAAGTGATATAACTATTTTGATTTAAAAACTAATCTACTAAACCGATTTTGATAAAATTTCTACAGGACCAATCTGTAACCTTAACCTTTTTAACAGGTAACGAACTTTAAAAAATACAACCGAATTGAAAGGCTCTTTCTTTTTGAAGTCGGTTAAAAAACAGATATAAAATTATTAATATTCATGCCAAGTTTTATGAAAAACAGGACAACAATTTTATTTTCCATTTATTTTGGCACAAACATTAAATATCTAGCCAAACCGAGAACAACTATCTCCAAGAGAGTATTGAAAAGTCGTTATTTTATTATACTATTTATTATAGGATTTTCGAGATTGCCTAATCAAAATTGATTATTATATCAATTTTATATTCCTTTTGTATTAATACCCGCCCACTATGTACCTTTTATTATAACAGATTGTGAATTGTTAATCTTTGTTGGGTGCCCACGATACAGGTTCGCCTAGTGTGGGGCGCATTGTATCTTGTGTTTGTAACTTTTTGTTTTTTGTCAAATAATAATTTTCTATTCTATAGTAATATACGAGTATAGTAGCATGGGATTCTTCAAAAAGGGCATAATAAGATTTCTTAAGAGTCGGCAACGCGCACGTGACATCTCTAATGTTACAAGTGATTATAGACTACAGTAACAGTCTACAGTTAGACTAATCGTATGCTTGCCACCATAAAAAAAAATTATAAATTTACATGACTTAGAATCGAACCCGTCACGAGACTATAAATCAGTCACATTATATATATATATATGACAAATTTCATTCAATTAGAGACTTTGTACAAAAGTGCTTGGGTACCTCTGTCCCATTCGTGTTTCTACCATGAAGCAGTTGTGTTTGCATGGCTGTGTATCGATTTGAAGGGTGAGATATGGTGTGAATTTGCAGGGTATAGAGGAATAACACCTGAGTCCTCAGGAATGACAACGCATGGGGAGTATAATGGGCGAAACAGTATACTCTGTTATGTCCATGGTACTGTTCATGTCTATAGGCGACGGTTACCACTTTCCATCAGGTGGGCCGTTAGCTTGTTTGCCATTCTAAGTTGTATAAAAAATACCTTCTTTGCGTGATTGTGTAACAAATATCAATTAGTAGAATGTAATTTATTCACATTAATAAGAGTAGCAAATAAACTAATGATACCACTGATGAAAAATTATAATAATAAAACGTTTGTTACAATTTTAAACATGAACACCATTGTTTAGTAATCATTCACTCTGACTCGTTCGTTTGAGCGCTCTCGCTCCCGCCACTCAGCACGTATTATAACACGTCGTCACTTTATATATAGTTTAAAATAATAAATATTCAATATTACTAAGTGCCTTTGGACTTTACATCTACTACAACCTGCATACCATAGTAAGGTATATAAATACTATACAACCATAATGGGTAAACTGTTTCTTTTTTTTTTATTCAAGTTAACTTAATGATAAGTATTTTGGTATAGTCTATAGTTTATCTTTTTTCTCTTGTCCGATGCAAATTTGAATTCGAATTCCTGCAAATATTAGTGTATATTTGTGTAGGAATTGTTGTAACATTTCACATTTTTATCAACACTAACCACATCTCTTACTGTAGTGCCATAAAAAAGGTAGATACATAACAAATTGGACAATATTTCCCACAACGAACGAATGTCGCGCCGTATAATTTGAAATATTCATCCGTTCTAGCAAAG